TGAGAAACAGCACATAACAGGTTATGGTGCCAGATACCATGTGGCCTTGTTCAACTGCCTTCACATGGAGTTGAACCAGTATCTTGTGATTTGACCTGTGGAGTGCTAACCACTGCACTATAGACCCACAGGTCTAAAACAATTAATTTTAAGCCTATAAAAAAAATTATTTCTATAGTTTTTTTTACAAATAGTTATTTAGAATATAAAAGAAGCTTAACAATTAGACCTATGGATCTATAGTACAGTAGTAGTGCTTCATAGATCACCAGGAGAAGATTTAGAGTTTAATCCCACCTGGTTACAAAAACTATCACTTTCATAATTGGTTAACCAGCTTCCAATTCATGTCGTATCTAATCAACTGACAATCTATTTTCCAAATTTAATTAGGCTGTATAAAAATAGGACCTCTGGTCTTCCTGACGATCACAGGCTGAAAACAGGTCGAAGCAAGGAAGGTTGCATAAAAAAAGACTTCTGATTTAATTCTGGTATAAGCCTACAACCCCTATTGACATGACAGATTTCATAGAATCACTTTTTATTCAGGATAAATGACTTCCTGAATAAGTTGTATCCAATTAGCCAACTTCTCCAAATTGACATAGCAGACTTTATAATGCAGGTAAACTTCACTACTCTATTTGATATTAATACAATCCAGATTGGTAATCGCTAGGAAGATTTTTCAACTGTTGAATAGGATTTTCCTTACCTTATATTTACAAATAGAAAGTCATAGTATAAACCAGGGTATAAACTTACCTACTTGATATAAAATGTTAGTATTTTGGTAAAAGGAAGTAGGTAGCTTGAATTAATATTAGCAATATGTTAATAGACTATTCACATATAGACAATTGTAATCTTAAGTGATCTCACAATAAAGTACATGCGTATATCGTAACTTAGCTCCTTAAAAAAAAAAGTTCAACAATTAATATTTTAAGTTACAATATTTTGAATTTGCTATATTATTTAAACCTATATAAGTATTTTAAAAAATTTTGAAAAAAATAATTAAATATTACATAGAAAATATAGTAAAAAAATGATAAATAATGATAAATAGAAATAAAATATAATAGTATTTATCTAAAATTAATAAAATTTTCAAAATTTTTAGTTATAATATAAAAAACAAATTTTTTAAATAATTTATAATACTTTTTTTTTTTTTTGCAAATTAATATAGATTTTTATTATCTTATAGAAATATTATTTTGCTTTTAAATGATTTATTAAATTAGTGCAACTCTTTTTTTTTGAGTTATTAGCTATAAAACATAAATTACAATAATACTTGTTGTTGTTTATAGGTCAAAAAAAGGCTTCTACATTTTTTTTTTTTTTAAACGGATGGTTTACACCTTTATTCAAATTATATTGAAATATACATTAATTTCCTTGTCAATACTCGATGCATCTAGAGGTAACTAACTTAAACTTGTGGCATAAATTTGAATATCACTAAAAACTATGTTCTACCATGAGACTTATCACCAGCAAAAGCAACAGTATTTCTTGATCGATCTATCAAGCACTACTGATTCCTAAAAAAATTTATAAAACGAACCAACTTTTCTATACCTTCCAACCTCAAATTTGTAAACTTTTTCATTAAGATTCCTCAACACCTAATGAATTATCCATTGGAGTACTGTGTCTCTATTCTTTTCAAAAGAAAGAAGAGGAGACTTCTTCTTTGGCAAAAAAAAAAAAAAAGGCTTCTACATAACACTTGTTTAAAACTTTTGTACTTATTGGAATCAGTTTGAAAATTGAAACTTAGAACACTAGTTCAATTTAAAAAAAAAAACCACTTGATTGCTTTTGATCTTTTTATTTAACCTTATAAGCTTTTAATATCAAGATTAGTAATATACATATAAACTTGACAATTAATTATTTCATTGTAACTATATCACCAATCAATTAATTGAGATTACATAATTGCAATTAATTGCTTTCACAATCAATTATTCGGTAGGCCTGCTTTACTTCTAATAATATTTTTACAACTTTTATTAATAAAATCAGGAAATCAATTGATTCTTAATTTATTATTTAACCTAAGTTATCACTGTTATTAAATTAATAACAAATTTACTATTACTTTAAAAGTAAATATCCAATAAAACAACTCGAGCTATATTAAATTCTACCGTAAACTGAGCTAATATCTCAAGAGTACTAGGCTTTAGATATAGATCAAGGTTCTTCCTTCGGAACAATTAATTCTCTATATTGTTTGATGGTATCGCCTTCGAATTTCCTTACCTTACCAGATTCACAGACCCAAATTTCTTTACATACAGAATCGATGAACCGTTCATCGTGGGATACAAGGATAACCCCTCCCTTAAATTCTCTAAGGGCATTTGTCAGGGCATCTATCGAGTCCATGTCGAGATGATTGGTAGGCTATTTTGTAATGTAAATTTATTTTTAGGACGATTTTAAATTTCAGCCGCTAAATAAATATAGTTAAACAGATTCAATCAATCACCTCGTCCAATATTAAAATATGAGGATTCTGTAAGCCCAAACATGCAAAGGAGACTCTACTTTTCTGACCACCAGAAAGAGTTTCTAGTGGTTGTAACCCTGTCACACCTGTTATTCCAAAATTGCCTAATTGACGTCGGTATTCCTCTTCAATCTTGCCTGGATACTTTTGGGACATAAACCCTACTGCGCTTGTATTAAGATCCAATTGATCCACATGATGTTGCATAAAATGTGCGAACCTAAGGCGCCCATGTCGATGTATTTGCCCAGAACGCGCCTCCAAAATGCCGGTTAGCAGTTTCAGCAGAGTTGATTTACCTAATCATAAAAGCTCATAATAAATATACAATATATAGTTCTAAATAACTATTAATAATTACCCGCTCCATTAGGGCCTTTAAAAATATACGAGAGTTAACATGTTAATAAAAATTTATTCGATCGCACGATTCCAATTCTAATTCACTGACCCACAACTGCTATTCGCGAATCCAGTTGAACAGAGAGGCTGACATTCGTTAATATTGTGGGACCATTTTCATATCCAAAAGTGACATCGTCCAATTGAAGAATGGGCGGACTCAACGAATCTGGGTCGGGGAATCTGCATAGAGAGAAATCCTAATTATCAATAACGCGTTTATTATAAATTCACAATAATAATTCAATATTACCTAAATGTGACGCCAGTCTCTACCTCTGGTGGTTCCAGAACAGGAAGTTTCTCCAATATCTTGATCTTACTCTGAGCCTGTGGTCCTCTTTTGGCATTGTATCTCCAACGATCAATAAAATCTTGCAAGTGTTGCCTATATTGCATCTGACTTTCGTATTCACGTAAGTGGTTTTTGCGTCGTTCTTCTTTAGTAGCATAAAACTGTGTAAAATTACCCTTATAGTAATCAAGACGCTCAGAGTGTTGATGTAAAATATCAGTTGCCACTTCATCCAGAAATTCTATTAGAAGCAAAGTTTCCAGATGATACAAAAATAAGACAATACATTAAAATTGACTTGACGAAAACGAAATGTATACCTCTATCGTGAGAAACGACTAGCAAAGTGCTTGGCCATTTTTTGAGGTATTGTTCTAACCATGCAACAGCAGGAATCTTTAATTTACAAAGTTGAAAGAGAAAAATAATGTTATAATTAATTCAATTCCGCTAATCATCACAAATAAAGATAGCCCTACATCTAACATATTAGTGGGTTCATCCAATAATAACAAATCAGGACGACAGAATAGTGCTCTTGCCAAAGCAAGACGCATCCTCCAACCGCCGGAAAATGTTTTTGTCGGAGAACGATGCTTATCTGATGGAAACCCTAGACCAGATAGAATAGCAGCGGCACTTGAAACGATAAAAGAATTACAGGAATTAACAAAATGTCTACCGTTGAATGCATGGGTAAATTTTAATATTTGGAGAAAATATTACCGTGACTCGGCCTTATCACTTTCTATCTCTTCCAGCTTTTGATACACTTCCTTTAACCGTGAGTTAATGGCTTCCTTCTCATTTTCAATAGAATCAATATCTGATTCGCCTCCAAGTAACTTTTCTAGTTCGTTAATTTTTTCGTTTAAATTTATTTCTTCATTCAATAGATGTTCTCTCCAGATGTCGGCACTCAGCACTGCCTGAATTGCTGATGTATCATCACCAACCATCTACGGCTCTCCAAAATAATCAATTCAAATGTTAGCTTTAATTTGATGTCAAGGTTAAAAGAATTACTTTCATCTCACCTCCTGCTCCACATGTAGAATACTGATATGAGTTGGTACACTAATTTCTCTTCTCGACATGGTTCTCAGCAACGTAGATTTTCCAATACCATTTCTTCCGACTAGACCATATCTTCTACCATAGACTAGCGTCAATGTCGCATTAGTCAAAATTCTCTTTCCACCAAATGAAATATCAAAGTTTTCTATCTTGACATCCTTAAGTTTCCCTTTGGTAGTAGTATAGTCCAGAATCGGATTTACTTTCATGTAAAATTCGGCATCGTTATTTTTCTTTGATAACAATTTACTTGATTCATAATTAGATCGTCGTTCTCTTTTCTCTATTTTTGATTTTATCTTGGCTTCAGCTTTTTCCAACTTTTTTGTATCAACTCGCGTTCCGAGTTTTCTTCCACTAACGGCTTCCAAATCTATTGCCTGCGAAACCAAACCAGCAGTTGCAGATATCGAATTTTTTGAAAGCATATTTACTGGTTGTTCTAATTTATTAAGCCCACTACCCTTGGAAATGTCATTCTTTGAGCCTTTGGAGACTTGTGCAAAAAGCTCAGCTAGTTTTTCACAAAGTTTTTGAATTCTTGCTTCGTCCCCACCTGCATCAACCAAAATTGGACGAACAAAATCTGATATGACATCTTCTCCGTCGGCAAGTGACGAATTTTCGTCGAGATAACCAACCACGTAGTCGACGATTGCATCGTCAATGTTAGGAACAGATTGACGTATCAACTTTGTTACTTTTAGATCCATGTTGACAACTGCTATTAGAATCTAGATCATACTTATCTATTATTTGTCACGTGTGAATCCCATAACATGCCTATTCACATGACCTTAAGAGACAGGAATCGTTTTTTTGATATACAAAAATCATTACGAAATGTGTGCCTTATACTGCAGATTGTATTTTAACGATGTATCTTATATTCGCAAGATTATTTTGCGGTTTCCATGCCACATTAGAATAAAATCTACTAATTGCAGAGTATCTGAGAGCTATGATCATTAATTGATACTGATATTCATTAGCTTATTTCACGTCTGCGACAGTAATTTTTTTAATATATAATTATTAAATTTAATATTTAACATTATTATTATTATTATTATTATTGGTAAAAAGATAATTGAAGCCTGGTTTTTATTAAAATTTTTACATTTTTACACCAGATATTTAAATAGTCTAACATGCTAATATTACTATTAAATATATAGATTAACTATTAATTATATTTCAATTATATAAATGTTATTTAATTTTAAATAAATATTTATAATTATTTGATATTTTTTTAATATTAGTCAACTGATTTTATAAACAAGTTAGTATTAAACTTACTAATTAATTGATTATATGAGAGATATTGTTACTTTTTTCATATACAAATTTTTACAATTTTACAATTATAATAAAGTGACAATATTTATTTATTTTTAAAAAAAAAGTTGTATTCAAAATTTTTAAAGATGTTTATATCTAATTTAATATATAAACTTATATTAAGTTTTTAATAATACAATTTTAATATTAATTTATAATTGCATTATATTGTTACAAAATAAGCAAGAAACTTGTATTATTGTTATCAACTCTATTTATAAAAATAATTGAAATCTCTGGTTATTATATATTATTAAGAATCCTAATAATTTAATTTAATTTAATTTAATTCTTAATTCTGAAATTTATATTAAATTTAATATATGAGTTATAACCTAATATTATTTTTAATAATGTTTTAAATCTTATGTAAATCCATATGAGTTTATTTAATTTTAATTTCAAAATCATATATATTACTTTATTAAATTTTTCAATTATTAATATAATATCTGTAAACTTTTTTTGTTTTTATTTATAAACTTTTTAGTTTTTTTAAATAGGTTTTTTAGTTTCTATAGATAATTATTAAATTTTATTTATAGGTTTTTTAATTTTTATCTAAAAGTTTTTTAGTTTTTACTAATAGATCTATTAATTTTTATATTGATATAAATTACTATTTTATTTTAAATATTATAAAATATAACTTCTTAAAAATTTGAATAATAATAGTTGTATATTGATTTCTTAAATATATTTAATATTATTATTAACAAATAAACAATATCAAATATGATAATAATAATTATATTTATTTTTTAAAAGAGTAAATTATTTATTCTTTTTTTGAAAAATTATAGCAAAAAATTTTTTTTCAAGCTTATATCTTTAAGAAAAATTATTATTTTTTAAAATAATTTTTAAAAAAAGAAAGTTAACTAATCAAATAAGGGATAAAAAAATAATGGAATTTGAAAAAAAAAAAAAATTTTAGAGAAACTTTAAAAAATAAAAAAATTTTAATTCTTGTAAAAAAAAAAAGAAAAATATATATATATATATAAAAAGATATATATTAAATAAGAGTTTATAAAAAAAAAACTCTTTTCGCTGATCCTTTTACCAACCCAAAAAATAGACATTCTCAAAAGATTTTTGTCTTTATAATAATAAAGTCTATACACTTTTCTTAAAACAACACTAGTTTTTAACCAGCTGAGCAAGCAGAAGCTAACACTTATTTTATTTTTCTTTTTCAAAACACTTTTCTTGTTTATTTTTTGTGACTAAATACAAGAAACCTACTTAAGAGATCTATGGCAAGAATACTTTTACAGAAAAAAAACTGATAAGAAAAAATATACTCCAAAGACTTCCAAAAGACTCAAGAATCTAGAGAAACAAGAATAAAAAAGTCTTTAGTCTTTCCATCATCTCTTTGGCTTCTTACTTCTTTTTTCTCAAGTGTGCTTCTTTTTTTTTGGTTTTTCTGAAAATTTTGTCTACCTTAGTTTGACCCTGAATTTTTTGGTCACATCAGATTTCCTGAAAAATAATTGGTCAAGGTCATGGATTAGTTGATCACATCAGTTACAAAAAATGTAAACAAGACATATACTCCTTACATGTTTCTAGTCACATAACACTAAACCGATGATGTGATTGATTCTTGAAAGAGTTGAATGGTTTTTAGTTAAAGGAGTAGTATGGGAATATTAGATGAAGTTGAAGTTGTGAGTAAAAGAGAAGCAACCCCTTTTTGATCCCATTTTTTTATTTTCTTTTTTTCCCTATTCTTTCTTGAGGACAGAAAGTAGCAACAAGATCTAGGTTCTATTCCAATCTGATAACAAGATGAAATACTGATATTTATCTTGAAAATGATTAAAGAAAGGGATCTTGAAACTATCCACCGGTTGAATAAAGTAATAATTTTAGAAGACATGGCCTAGGAGAGAAATAAACAATAGAAAACCAGCATTTTTTCTATTTAGAAGTCTTTAAGCATAAAGTCTCAAGAATTACTTTCCTGAAAGTGCTCTTAAACGTTCTTGAACATCAACTACTCCAATGAAAATTAAATAGTTCTACTGGCTACAGGTGGTGAGAAGTAAGAAATCATGAGGGACTTGGGTTTTTGAAGTTTACAGAGATAACCTCTTCAATGATAATTAGAATAGACGATAACTTTTTCTTTTCTTTTGTTCAAAAAATTCTTTTTTTATTTCTTTTTACCCTTGTGTAGTTACTACAAAAAGGAGATGATACGATTTGGATTTATGGTTATAACTGTAGATGTGATCTGCAGGTTTTAATCTTACTGGAAGTTTAGAATCTTAATTCCATCCTTTAGGAAAACAATATATCACCTCCATAAATTGCATCTAAAGACTTCAGCTAAAGATAAGTGAGTTGGATTGAAGAAATTTATACTTTGCATAGATTCTCAACTTGTAATGGTTCTTTATGATTTAATAAATAAATGATACCAACCTAATTGCGGAATTAAAAAAAAAATAATAATAATGAATTAAAATCACAAAATCTTAATCTAAGATTAAGTCTTAGTAAATTTTATATACTTTGTCCTGAAAATTTCAAAAAAGCACAAAAAAAAACTGATGTGTTCAATTTGTATTAAAGGAGAAAAATTCAAAAAAAAAATTATAACAAACCAATTCAAATATTACTTCTTTTATTACTCACTTGCAAAATGAAATAAATTTTATAACAAATATTTATATTTTAAAAACCAATAACAAAAACTTTAGAAAAACTCCCTTGAATTAGTAACTACAACATCTTGTATTATAGTTATGGATTTTAAAGAAATTTTTAAAATTGGTGGTGGTTCAATTGAAACTGCAAGAGATTTTTATAAAAAATCACAAATTTTATTATTAGGATTTGTAATTTTTTATAAAGATAATAATAATATAATCAAATACAATATTTTGATTTTTTTTCAAAAATTTTAAACCATGACTCATTATTTGTTATCAATTGTATCAAAAAATTTCTTTTCACACCTTTTATGACATAATTTGATAAAATTTGTTTTTGGTTTGATTCTGGATCATATTTTCGCTCAGCAGAATTAATATATTTTATTTTTAATTATTTATTTTCAATTTATAACAAAAAAAGTTTTTTTAATTATTTTGTTGAATATCATGATAAAATATTGTTGATAGCCATTTTGGTATATTATCAAAATGGTTTAAAAAAGGTGAATCAATATAATATATTTATACTATTGAAGAATTAATTAATTATTTTAAAAACAAAACACAAAATTATAATAATTACAACTTTAAAATTTATTCATATACAAAATCCAAAAAATTTATTAACAAATTAATAATAAATAATTTTTGTTCATATTTATCATTTATAAAATTTAATGATAAATTATATGTTTTTACTCTTAGTATATTTAATATTATTGATTACAAGGAAATATCATTTAAAATTAAAAAAATAAAAGATATAAGAAAAATAAAAATATATTATATTCAAAAAAACAACAAATAATATTTCAACAATAATGGGAGATAGAAATAAACAAAGATTATTAATTAGAACAGAAAACATATTTAATTATTTTATTCTAATGGAATTTTAAATTCTTCTTTAAATATGTGCTTGAAATTAATTTTTAATTTTTTAAAAAAACCTATTTTATATAATATCTTTTTTAATATTTATTAAAACCTAATAAAATATATATCATTATAAAGCTTACAATCTAAAAAATCCAATGGTAATAAAATTGAAAAATTTTAATCATTGGTTATTAAAATATTATTATTTAACTTTAAAATTTTTTAAAATTTTTGTAGATTAATATTTTCATCAATATTAATTCAAATAAGATAAAAATACTGTGATTTAATAGTCAATATATTGAATTATTAATATTTAAATTTTTTTTTAATTCTAATTATTAGTTATTGAGATAATTGGATTTAAATTTTAAAATTAATTTTAAGCACATGTATAATAATATAAGGTAAAACCCAAAGTATAGTGTTGTCGGTACACGGCGAGTCTGTTGCTACTCCGGACTAGATCGTCGCGTAACGGTAAGTATGTAGGGGCTTGTGTCGCTTGCTAACCAGAGGCACTTGTTGATAAACTCCCTTCTTTCTAGTTGCCGGTCTAATCCTATACCACAAGCCGTTGTGGTCCCTCAAGATTCTATATGCGGCAAACAACCAATTAAGGTAAGTTTATTAATTATGCTGCGCAATTGCAAGTATTACAAGTTTATACAATATAAATCCTAACTCTCTCTTTTAACTAGCTAATCCACCCATATTTATACCCGCCGCGACGCGTACGCCGATCTACCGTCGCGTCCTGCAAATTCCCAATTAGACTATTTAGGCTTTATGATGCAGGGTTCGATGGATCGCGCCATATC